CATTGTGTAGAGTTTTGGAATACGACCTTGAGTCTCTTTCATCACTATTATGAATTTATGCACTCGTACCAAGACTCACTTCAGACGCCATCGGGCATATTCTACTCCAAGTTACGTAAGAACTGTCTAGCAAACTATAAAAGATAGTATCTACAACGATTTACATTGATTTTCGTGTTGAATGTCAAGTTGAGTATTATCGAACTTTTTCTTTGAAGATTTCTTTTAGTTGCTCACCGAAAGTTATGCTGTTCCCTTTTGAACATGTTCTTTAGAAGAAACTTTTGCAATTAGTTCCAAGGAAAGGAGATTTCTTGTTTAATTTTAACTAAGTGGCGCAGTTAGCACGAACGTTGTAATTCCTCGGCGAGATAGGTGAGAACCATTTCCACCCTGCTGTCGTGATAACGTGTGATTTACGGAATACGGCTATTTTGCAAGCTAGAGTTAACGGTAATGAGAAACTTATCTATATTTATCACTATCAATTGCATTTAAAGCGTTTTCTAAAACTTACGAAAAATACATCAATAGCTTTTTTATAACAAAAAGGCGATCTGAAAAGTTTGTAGGAGTTTGTAGAAGATCTGCAAAGTTGTGTTGCACGTGTTTGCCAAGTTTTTTGAAATTGGTTAAAGGATGGATTCAAATATACCGGATTCATTCCCTTATTTGCCACCCTCAGGTGTGGAATATTCGCTTCAAGAATGAGGTATGGGGTATACCTCGTTCTTGAAGTGAATATTTCAAAAAAAAAAGAAACATCGAAATCGGATCACAAATGTAGGAGTAATAACGTATCATAAACAAAAAAAAAAAAAACAGTCGAATTGAGAACCTTCTTTTTTGAAGTCGGTTAAAAAGACAAACTGTACCAAAGGTCGATGTTGGTTTCGATTTCTACCCATTTGCAGTACAAATCGAGAATGTCAAACAATTAAAAAGATCTTTATTTATCTATATCGACATAACAATTTAGCCTAATAACACTAATTGTCTGTGGTTAGTGTTATGTAAATAAAAATCTCGTTAACATTTTTATTTAACTGCCTCCGTGGCCGAACGGTTACCATGCCGGACTGCCACGCAGAGGTCCCAGGTTCGATTCCCGGGCCGGGAGAAATATTTGTATGGCCTACAATTATTTCTCTCGTGAGTTTGGGTGTAATTTGTGTTTGTCTATATGTGTGTCCATGGCACCCGCGACACAGGGTTTCCCTAGTGCGGGGCCATGTAGAGTGTGTGCGTTATTTATTTATTATTATTTATTTATTATTTTTTGGCAGGAGTGTCACATATTCTAAGTCACATGCTTGATCCCAAGGGCACTGACTACACACGTGTAGTGCAAGTCAGTGAGCATGGTTACCGCAATTAAATAAAAAATAAGAATTAAATTTTTATTGAATTAATTAATTTTTATTCAATTATTTTTTGTGAAATTACTCCACTAGTTTGTTATAATTATTAATACAAAGATCGAACACTCAGAAAAACACTCATAAAAAATTCCTTCGATTCGAACCGACGTCTTCTTGCATACCGTGCCAGACGCTAGGAATAAGAAGTTTTTTTCGATTTATGTTTTAATGATTTGGGTTCAGTTTCGGATATAGAATGACCTCTGTAACTATGGCGAGAATGCAAACTAACACATTGTATTATATTTTATTTTATTGAATACCATGTTTTTACTACAGTGACATTAATTTTTTGGTGAAAATACTCCACAAATTTGTTATTATTATATTGATACGAAGAACGAACATACACAAAGAAAAATTTCATCGATGGATAAGTGCCTATATAATCACAACTACAATTTTTTGAGACAATAATTTGTAGCAAAACGTAAATAGGAAATAATAATTTGTCGCCATTGTATTAACATTTGAATACATATATAGTTGACACATGCAGGCACGCATGCACAAATCCGCCCACCCGAAGCCCGCCCGCCCGTGGGACCAATATTGAGGCACAAACTCTTTCGATCAAAAAAGAATCATCCAAATTGGTCACAAATGCCGCAGTGATATACCTACTTACATACAAAAAAATACTGTCGAATTGAAAACCTCCTTTTACTTTACTTTTGAAGTCGGTTAAAAAGAGCACCGCAGTAAGGCCTCATTATGAGTCAAAGAGGTGCTCCTCTTGCCAAATAACGTTCGTATTGAACAGATCCAGATTAAAAGTATCATACATATAGTGTTAAAATTATTGTTTCCACGCCACATAAACTCCTTTTTTTATTGAAATAGTGGAGACCATGGTAAAGACCATCTCGGTCAGCCGTGACCTTGGGACCTATAAACGGCCCGAAACGTTGGTTTGTTTGAAAAACGACTGTACGCGATTTAAATCCGAAAATATAGTCTTAATTCCTATCTGCATGTTTTTCATAAACTGTTTTTATATCATAAGCAACATCTTAATTATTTTAAGGGCAACGCATACTGTTCTAGAACATTGCTGTTGATATTTAGAATGCCATTTATGAAGTATAAAACTACAGTGAAACAAAAACTTTATACAAAAAGTTATTTATTATGCACAGCTTTTGCGTATTCGGTTGACAAAAATCCACGAGAGCATCCGTCTAACTTTTTCGGATTGTTTCTACCTATGATTTATGAAAACAAAAAATATTAAATTATAAATTCTCTTCTTTGTTTTAAATGTTATAAGGAATAATATAGACAGTTTGTACCTCGTGGAAATGATCTTTAAATTCAAAGTACCAAATGACTACTGTACCAGGCGGCATGATGTGCCCTTGTTAGCAACCGTGTCTTCACGCACTGAACAGTACCGACACTCGCCCCTTACCCATGCAACTACACTCCTCAATTCCGTACTCGCAGCATCACCGCAGTGTGATCTGTTTGTGACTGGGATAGCGAAACTGATGACTGAATGAAAGAGAGTGCTAGAGAGAAAACAGGATGGATTTTAGTGATATTGATAATTGAAGTTTTGATTAGTGACGATATTACTTTTTTAATTCTGGTTGATTTTGTTTTTATGTTTCTAAATTAATGTAACGCCATGGTAAATACCGTTATGTTACACTTTTTTGTTATTGAATAAATAAATAAATAAATTTGAATACATACGTATCTATAAAGAGTAATCTCTGAAGTTTTTTAATGATTCTATTCAATGTAATATGCCTGCCTTATTAATAAATTATTCAATCGATTTCATTCCAAGTGTAATATAATTACTATTAGTAGAATTTTGAAGTCGCAGGTATTTGTTGTACATCATAAGTTATGGCTTGTTATATCTGTTATATTATAAGTCAGGGTGGCATAAGTGTCGAAACACAAAACTGCGAATTGGCGCGATGCGAATGCAAGGAATCTCACTGCCACGATTTGGGTAACCATTATTTCGACGATCATCAACCGAGCTGAACGTATTTTTTACACTAGGTGGCAACATGGATCGTAACAAGAGTGTTGCACTGCTGTTATTGATAAGAAAGTATAGAAAAAAAACACTAAGAAGATTAACATTGCAGGAATGCGCGACGCGGAGCAATTCGCAAATTCTTGCGATGCGTCGTGCGAGCTCGTAGATTTCGGCGATGCGACGTCGCATCGCAGTTTTGTGTTTAGACCCTTATAGTTTAACTCACCCATATCCACCACCTCCCAAGAAGAGGCCGTGGATTAGAACAAGACTCGCACCATTGCCATGAGTTTTTCGGTGAAGGAAAATATCGTAAAGAAACCTGCACGTGGAAAAAGGTTCACAACCTGAGTCCCAAACCGCATTGAGCCTTAGTCCCTCGCCTGAGAGGAGACCTGTGCCCAACAGTGGGTCATATAAATGGGTTAACAATGATGATAATATCTTTTATGGACACAGACTTTAATTATTTACAGGCTGCCTATTATATTAATGATAATAAGGTTACAATTATTACCATCGGTAAAGTACACAGTGTCATTATTATCGTTCCAAACGCTTTTGTTCAGTGTTTGAATATTTAGTACTTTGTTTTTTATTTAACAATAAAGTAAAATGTCACCAGAAAGCAATCGGCCAACGATACGAGTGAACAATTCAGATATGGGATGAGATAAGTCGACATAAGTATCAGGAGGCCGTGGGGCTGGTACAAAATTGAAAGCCAATGTGTATGTTCGGTCACGTAGAAGAAAAGGTGTTTACGCCAACGTGAATGGGGGGTATCATGGGATTCGGCTAAAACACCCTTCGCACCGAAGATTGGCTAGAATATGATTTCTATTTTAGGGTGGAAAAATCAAAACCGATGTAGTAAAGTGTTAGGTTAGAAGAGCTGCTATAGATAGAAATGATTTCATTCTACTTGGCGAATCGGCTTTGTGTAAACACTTTGCACGTATTTTAAACATTCATTGCAATTAATTTTATTAGATTATAAAAGCGCAAAAGGCAATCGATGTGAAAGCAAATGGAGTGCGGTGGGCCACCGGACTGCTGCCATCATTCACTTGACTCGTATTTTACAGCCATTAAAAATCAACTCTAAATACACTATTGTGAGGCTGTCCGCACAAAAGCCAATTCTTTTTAGTTTTTTCGAATTTTTACTACCTCGCGCTCGGTCTTTCGGTTCGTCATTAACTTCACTTATCGGCGAACATTTAACCATTTTATTATTCTTTTACGATTATAGTTTCCTACCAATCAGTCATTGTATATATATTCATTATAAATAATAACAGTAAAACTACGAATTGTACTGTAAATAAGTATCACATAATGTTTTGGTACCGAATGCACTGAACAATTTCAGTCTTGCGTATTTTCTCAATAGTGTGTTTAATTTTTTTTACCAAAAATAAGTTTTAGGTTCCAATTTCCCTTATACAAAATCTTACGATAATGACGTACCCCAGCAATAATGGACACACTGTATTAATGATTATCACATTACGTACAGTTGACCACCATTGTTTGCATAAGGACGTTTGACCATTTCTTTAACATAACTACTCTAGCGTGCACGCATAAATTGCATAGATCACATTAGGTACTGCATTCGTACTGAAAATGTTGCTCAAAGTATTCGTGATAGTGTTATCAATAAGTCAAGTGTACAGTGTTCCAAAGCGAAAGAGCTATTCGGATCTGAAGTCGTGCAATCTCGGCCCTTTAGCTAAGGAAATAGCTTCTTACGATACTGTAGTAAGGAGTATATTAGACTACGTCAGAGGACCATTCAAAGGGAAGACTTATGCCGAGTAAGTATTGTTCAGCTTTTTAATAATATATTTTGTCATTATTGGTCGAGCCGACCTGAAAAGGAGTGCGTCTTTCGTATATGAGCTGGAAGTAATATTTTGTTGAGTTGTTAATATCGTGATTGTTATGAAATTCAACAAACACACAAATAGTGAAAGTCAAGACTTAATTGTTATGGATTTGTCCTTGGCTTTTTGCAAGGTTTTTGATTTTTGTTTTTTTAAGAGATTTTTTTACAGGTATTAGAAAATTCTCGACGCCGACAATAAGTTTTTGTGTAAAGTGACGGGACGAACAAGTCGTTGATCTGATTGTAGATACTAGAAAAAGCATGCCTATCTATAATAGTTGCATTGCCACTCCGAGCTCGCAAATCTGTGAAGGGTACTGCCACTGCACCTATCACATTGATACATAAACTTAACAAGGCCCATGTGCCTGTTGTGCCACCAGCACTTTTATTCTTCAAATCTACATACCTTATCTAGTACTTCTCTGAATGAATTTCAGTGGCAATAATATTAGTTAGATGAGAAATTGATTGAATATCAAGAGATTTAGGATTTCGTTTGGAGAGTATGATACGTGTTAAATTCAAGGGTAAAGTTTGTTATGTATGAATAAAACTAATCCAAAGTTATGTTATTATATTTACTCTTAACCATAATCAAATAAACGATCAATTGTACTAAACGAATAAATTTTATTGCCCATTTGATGCCTTAGAGCCATTAGAATCGGACCAGCAACGCGTCACGGCGTCGCCTCAAAACGGAACATTGAACGACGGACCAAAGTTGTGTGGTTTGCGATTAACAAATTTACGTCCGAATTGCTCGGTACATTAGAAAAGTACGGAGATAAAAATTGGAATACGAACAAGTATCTATAAAATAGTAGCTACTTGTAGTTAGAATTCAAACAAAAATTGAAAGTTTGGAATTTGTAGTATTAGAGTGTTCACTATAATGGACTTGTTTCATAAAGTTGTTGTTATTTTATAGGTTGGCAAAATTCGTAGACAAGTTTGGTGCTCGGCCTTCGGGCTCGGATACACTTGAGCAGTCTATTGACTATCTGGTCCAGTTGACGCGAGATGAAAATATCAAGGATATTGTCACGGAGGAAGTCAAGGTTTATTATACATTGTTTTATTTACCATTTTTGTACTCTTCAATAACAGCTACATGCATTATCAAAGATATTACATTAATATTTTTTTTATTAGAGATTGCTTATCGATTGAGAGGTAGGCGGTTCGATTCCCTTTGGATGCATATACTTATGACCTTAATTCCTGAGTTACGTAAGATTCTGACTGCTTAGTCACCATATCTCTCAACAAAGGTGATGGAAAATATTATGACGTGACCTTTATATCGAAAACTAAATAATAATAATGATAACGCATACACTCTTAGGCGCGCACTAGAGAGACCCTGTATCGCGGGTTCCATGGACACACACATAGACAATCACAAATTACACTCAAATATTTCTCCCGGCCCGAGAATCGAACCCGAGACCTATGCGTGACGGTTCAGCGTGGTAACAGTTCTTCCATGGAGGCAGTTAACAACAGTTAAAAAAAGAGGTGTCTTGAAAAACGTGTAGTCTCCAACCCAATTGTGCCAGCGTAGCGTGCTGATATCCTAAACTTTCTGTTTCGATGAGACCCGTGCCGTAGTGGACCGCACAATAGGTTGATCTTGATTTTTTATTGATTTTCTAAGAATATCGCATCTAAAAATTAATATTGCAAACAATACATTTTAAGGTTCCACATTGGGTGAGAGGCAAGGAACAATTCACACTATTAAAACCAAGAGTGAAAAATATCAATGGGTTGGGGTTCGGTTCAAGTATCGGCACTCCACCAGAGGGCATCACGGCTGAAGTTATAGTTGTGTCAAGCTTTGACGAATTTAGCAATATTTCTGAACATGATGTTAAGGGTAAAATTGTTGTTTTCGATCCCAAGTTTGTAGAATACTCTGTGACAAACATATACAGGACGACCGCAGCGTCTGTTGCAGCAAAAAAGGGGGCAGTTGCAACTTTAGTGCGATCAATAACACCATTTTCTATAAATTCACCGCACACTGGTCAACAATCCTACGAGGAAAACGTTGTTAAGATCCCAACGGCTGCTATCACAGTCGAGGATGCAGATTTAATGCGAAGGATGTTTGAACGTGGTGAAAAAATAGAGGTCCAAATACAAATGTCAGCTACAACAAACGATGATAAAATTTCAAGAAATACTTTAATCGATTTGAAAGGTACTGAACGGCCTGAAAAACTTGTAATTGTATCCGGTCATGTAGATAGCTGGGACGTTGGACAGGGAGCTATGGACAATGGTGGTGGAGTATTTATTAGTTGGGCTGTACCTGTGATATTGCAACGACTTAATCTTAGACCAAAACGAACTATTAGATCAATATTTTGGACCGCAGAAGAACCAGGTTTGATTGGAGCGACGGCATACGAAGCGAAACACAGGAATGAAAGTCATAATATCGATTTTATTATGGAATCCGATGAAGGTACCTTTGCACCACTGGGTTTGGTAGTTACTGGCACACAAGAGGCGAGATGCATTATAGCTGAAGTTTTGAAACTGTTCGAATCGATAAATGCGAGTACATTGGTTGAAAGCGACAGTCCAAGCTCAGATATTAACGTGATCGTCGATACTGGAGTGCCAGGAGCGGGTCTGTATAACGCTAATGATCGTTATTACTGGTTCCATCACACTGAGGGAGATACGATGAATGTAGAAGATCCAGACGAATTAGATTTGGGCGCTGCAATGTGGACGGCGGCTGCTTACGTCATCGCCGATATTTCGGTTGATATTCCACGAGCACAAGACAAAGCTAAGAGAAGTTAAATATTAGCAACTTTGTAAAAGCGCATGAATTTAATATTTTTAAAACAAAATATTTCTGAATAAAGCATTGTTAATATTCATTTTTTTACATAACATGTTGATAACAATAAATGTGTCCTTTATTCATGGTGCAGTGTGGTAATTACTGTAGTTTAACATTAGACATGTTTATTTTCTTTAACTGTCAGACTAAACTGAATTGAATTAAATACTATATTGCAACTATTTCGTTCTTAGTAGAATAGTACACATCTACATTGCAAAGGAAGTAATAATAAGAAGAAGTAATATAATCAAGGTTTTCGAGTCGTTTTTTTGTCCCAGAAATACTTCACTGACATTCAGGATTACAAGTATATGGAATATAAATGTAATTATAAGAAGTTATTAGGTAGTATAAGTGTTGGAAAGGCGTGCTTTACCGTGCAGTTAAGACAACAGATTGATAAGCAATTATAAAATATTTTCCATTAGAACCCTTTAAACATGTAGGACTAAAGGATATTCTTTGTTATCTATATTTGTTGGCTATTTCTGGTTTAGGCACCGGTTTTTCACAATATAATTATCGTTTTTATGTCTTGTTCTTGATATTATGCTCAATGTACCTGTATTGAGGTAAAAATTACACAAACTTATTGTATTATTGTTATTATATTATTATCGTTTTCATCTTTCCAATTGATCTTTAATTTATGGTGTATAATATAACAGACCTTATGATATGACCAAAATAATTACGGACGATTCTGAATGATGTATTCTTATTATTGTATTATTATTTATCTATTCTTATATACATAAATATAAGAATACATAATTAATGTTACCTGGAAGGTTTCGACAAGAAGCTCCAGAATGGCGAAGTTTGTCGACAAATTCGAGACACAGATAAAAAGACGTAAGTTATTGGTGTACTCTGTTGATTACTTGATTCAACACACGCAGCAGACAAACATTAACATTGAAGAAGTTATATCGACAATATGAGAGGCAAAAGATTGTTGAGGAGGGAACTATGAGCAAGAATTTGTGGAGTACTGTAACTGAAATCGATAGATCTAAAGTCAACTCGCCAGCCATAGAACTACTTGCTCGAGAATCAAACAAAAGAAAGTCAATTAGCAATGTGAAAGAATAAATTGCTGACTTTGGCCGATTTCTTGCTAGTAAGGTCCAACGAAGCAAAAATTGGCCACGCTGGCCCAATGCGGGTTGCAGACTTCACAAGTTTTCCGGAGGTTGGGAATCTTCTTCGACGAACAAGTTTCATTACGATGTTTTTCCTATACTCTTTTGGTGACGTAAATACGAGGGTCATCCAGAAAATATGTTCCGTTTTGGTCTGTAGGTCACCAGATTTTTTCTCACAAATCTGGTAATATTGTACGAAAGAGTGGAACTTTCTGAATGTAATGAAAGGTGAAGGGCTACGGCCCTAGGGCTACTACGGTAGCCCTAAACACACGGTTACAGCAAGTCATTGAAACGGAGCCCTCGACGTCGCGTCCCGCCACATCGGTACCTGTTCTTTCTCGAGTTGTTCTGTGCGGAGTGATTCAACTTCTTCAGTTTTTGCCTTAAGAAGAAACAATTAACGTCTACCGGCAATGAGACCCTGAAGAAGCTTCGTCAGGCCGTGTACCCTCTGCACGACAACGCACGGTCTCATGTTGCTCGTGGCGCATCCGCCCGATTGCGAGAGACTTCTCGATACGGTGTTTTAAATTATGTTACCGTTCCACTGCTTCCTATAATTATAAAAGTTTAGCTTGATAAGTGTAAAATTATCTGTTAGGGATTTTAATTACAATTAGTTATTTTACAAAACTAAAAATTTTGTTATCAAAATCCAATTACCGCTGTCTGCCATTTGTAATATCAAATTAGTAACGTTGTTAGGGCAAATAAATTGTAACGGGTCCACCGCGAGCCCCAGACCTTTACTTATTGGATTGTATGTTAGTTTCTTACCTCAGTTGTAAATTGAAAAAGTTCACTTTCAAGAGAAACTTCTTTACTAATAAAATTAAGATATTTTGAAGGTGAATTTATAAAAGTACCTACAATGTACGGGAGAAATTCAGTCGCATATATAAAGATTGTTTACTCGCTGAAGACTGGGTCACAATAAATCGTCGGAGTGGGACATCGATATTGGGCTTTCTCTCTCAATTGAGTGACGTAGGCACGTGACGCGTGCGCATGCTCGTTATCAATGACAACGAATTGATGCGGTACCTTTTGAGTAATTTCTTGCCTGCGATTGTCAAAATGTTGCAACCTTATTTTTATTTTAATACATTCACTGTTTGAACGTTGACCCTGTCTCAATGGATAGTTTTTATAGAAATCATATTTTTTTGACCTGTCGGAAATAATACCATGGCTTTTTTATTTTTTTGTAGTATTATTGTTTGGTAGCTGTTTTATAAAAATTTATAAAGCATACTGTAACCAGAAAACAATCGCTTATCGATAAGAGTGAACAATTCAGATATGAGATGAGATAAGTCGACATAAGTGTCACAAGGCCGTGGGGCTGGTAGGAATTGAAAGCCAATGTATACTTGTGTCCAACAATGTCTACTACTACTACCCTACTATAAAGGGGTGTTTACGCCAACGTAAATGGGGGTATCAAGGAATTCGGCTAAAACATCCTTCGCACCGAAAATTGGCGAGAATATGATTTCTATTTTATGGTGAAAAAACCAAACCGAAGTAGTCAAGTGTTGGTAGTATAGAACTGATATAGATTAAAATGATTTCAATCTATTATGGTGAATCGGTTTTGTGTAAACACATTGCACATATTTTTAAATTGTAATGAATTTTTATTAGGTTATAAAAGTACAAAAACTAATGCATTTGGTGAGCACAAAGAGGCAATTGACGTGAATGCAAATGGAGTGCGGTAGCCCACCGGACGCTGCCATCATTCACTTGCCTCATATTTTACGGCCATTGAAATTGACGCAATCAACTCTAAATACACTATTGTGAGGCTATTCGCACAATAGCCAACCTTTTTAGTTTTTTAAAATTTTCTATTTTGTACTCGGTCCTTCGGTTTGTCATTAATTTCACTTATCGGCGAACATTTTTTACGATTATAGTTCCGTACCAATTTCTCATAGCATAAATTAATAATTAAATATAACAGTAAAAACTACGAATTGTATTGTAAATAAGTATCGCATGATATTTTGGTGTCGCAATACTGTTATTTTTTATTTGCATGTTAAAGCTTTTTTAAGCAAAATCTTTCCGATAATCTAGTACCCCAACAATAAAGGACACTCTGTATTATTGATTATCATGTTACTGCACAGTTGGTCACCATTGTATGGTTAAGGACGCTTGACCATTTGTTTAACATCACTTCTCTTGCGTGCACGCATAAACTGATAGATCATATTAGGCACGGCATTCGTTCAGAAAATGTTGCTCAAAGTATTAGTGGTGGTATTATCAATAAGGCAAGTGTATAGTGCTCCAGAGCGAAAGAGTTATTCGGAACTGAAGTCGTGCAATCTCGGCCCTTTAGCTAAGGAGATAGCTTCTTACGATACTGTCGTAAGAAGTATATTAGACTACGTCCGAGGACCATTTAAAGGGAAGACTTACGCCGAGTAAGTATTTTTCAGCTTGAACTTTCTAATCAGAGATATTGTCATTATTGGTCGAAACGACCTGTTCAGTTGCTGTTATCGTGTTGTTATGAATTCTATGAAATTCAATACACATACCAACAGTTTTAATATCTGGAAGACCTTCGACATTGACAGCAACATGTTAGATTAGAAACTGATTAGATATACAGATCTACAAAATTCCATTTGAAGAGCATGATATATGTTAGTATCTATCAAAGATCATTTCTTAAGATAAATATAATCCTCGTTATTCAGATAAGATAGAACCAATACAAAAAGGGCTTGCGCCTATCGCTACATCTTAATATCTCGTTGGCGTGGGAAGAAAAATGAATCTTCTACCAATTTCGATAGTCCTTTTTGTTTTTACTGCTGGTGAAGCAAAAAATTTGCCTAAAAATTCGGTTTGTTCCGATATATTGGACCCGGCTTTAATAGCAGAGATAGCAAGTTACGAAAAAGTCAAAGATGAAATCGTGAAATTTGTGACTGAAGGTGAATTCAAGGGTAAAGTTTATGATGAGTGAGTAAAATTAACCTAAAGTTATGTTTTTATTTACTCTTTCTTAACTATAAACAAATAAACGATTCAATGTACAAATAAATAAAGTTTATCGTTCATTTGATACCTTAGCACTAAATAGGCAACGTGTCGCCGCAAAACATTGACAAATGGACCCAAAGTTATGTGCTTTACAGTATACTTGTGAATTGTTATTCACAAGTATACATTTTATTTACCCATGACTTACTCGGAACATTAGAAAAATTCAAAGATAAAAATTAGAACACGTACCTGTATTAAAAATAGCACACACTCGTAGTTGGAGTACAAAACGTTAAAATTAACATAACCCGGTTAATAAATTCAAAATTTACATTATAATAGTGTTTACTAAAATTAATTATGTGTTTTATAAAATTGTTCTTACTTTATAGGTTGGCAAAATTCGTAGACAAGTTTGGTGCTCGAATTTCGGGATCGGAAACTCTCGAGCGATCTATTGACTATCTGGTCCAGTTGACGCGAGATGAAAATATCAAGGACGTTGACATTGTTACGGAGGAAGTTAAGGTTTATACTTCATTGTTTTACTTATCTTTTTTGTGAACTTCAATCAGTTTGTGTTTTTAAAGAATTAGCTATGAAAGATAAGGCAATAATATACTTTTTATTAAATAATGTTGTAAGCCAACGGAAGAACGATTGCTTCCCTCAAAGTTTGACGGTTCGAATTCCAGAGGCACCATGTATATCGCTTTGATTTTTACGTTAGGCACATTTGTGAAACTTAGCAGAAACACCTGTCACTTACAAGGAAGGAAAATATTGTGACGAAACGTGAATGTCATAGATGTTTCATGGCATTTAAAAACGTGTTAAGTCCCTAATCAACATTAGGTCTCGGAAACATTAGGTCGGACTACGTTCTCTAACCTGCTCCTTAGAGGAGACCCTTGTTCAGCAGCGACACGTACATTGAATTGATGATGATTCTTATATTTGGTTTTCTAAGAATGTCGTATCTACAAATAAATGTATACTGCAATAAATGTCATCTAAAATTTAAGGTACCGGACTGGGTGAGAGGTGAGGAAAAATTCACACTATTAAAACCAAGAGTCAAAAATATCGACGGGTTAGGGCTCGGTTCAAGTGTTGGCACTCCACCAGAGGGCATCACGGCTGAAGTTATAGTTGTATCAAGCTTTGATGAATTTAGCAATATTTCTGAACACGATGTTAAGGGTAAAATTGTTCTTTTCGATGCTAAGTTTGAGAAATACTCAGTGACAAACATATATAGGACGGCCTCAGCATCAGTCGCAGCAGAAAAGGGGGCAGTTGCAACTTTAGTGCGATCAGTAACACCATTTTCAATAAGTTCACCGCACACTGGCCAACAATACTACACGGAGAACGTTGTAAAGATCCCAACAGCTGCCATCGCCGTCGAAGATGCGGATTTACTACGAAGGATGTATGACCGTGGTGAAAAAATAGAGGTCCATATACAAATGTCAGCTACAACAAACGAAGACAAAATTTCAAGAAATACTTTAATCGATTTGAAAGGTACTGAACGGCCTGAAAAACTTGTAATAGTATCCGGTCATGTAGATAGCTGGGACGTTGGACAGGGAGCTATGGACGATGGTGGTGGAGTATTTATTAGTTGGGCTGTACCTGTGATATTGCAACGACTTAATCTTAGACCAAAGCGAACTATTAGATCAATATTTTGGACTGCGGAAGAGCCAGGTTTGATTGGAGCGAAGGCATATGAAGCGAAACACAGGAATGAAAGCCATAATATCAATTTTATCATGGAATCCGATGAAGGTACCTTTGCACCACTCGGCTTGGTAGTTACTGGTACACAAGAGGCGAGATGTATTATAGCTGAAGTTTTGAAACTGTTCGAATCGATAAATGCGAGCACATTGATTGAAAGCGATAGTCCGAGCTCAGATATTAACGTGATCGTCGAAACTGGAGTGCCAGGAGCGGGCCTGTATAATGCTAACGATCGTTATTTCTGGTTCCACCACACTGAAGGAGATATGATGAATGTAGAAGATCCAAACGAATTAGATTTGGGCGCTGCAATGTGGACGGCGGCTGCGTACATCATCGCCGATATTTCGGTAGATATTCCACGCGCATAACAATATTCCAACAAAAGTTAAATACTAGCAAAACTTAATACTTGCACATGAATTTTTAAAGAACATGTTGTTTGTGATAAAATCAATGATATCAATAAATGTGCGTTTTTTTTTAATGTTTCTGTGTATGTTAAATACGGTAGTATAACGTTATTCTACTATATTTTTTACTAGTTAGCTTCTAATATGGTAACACTACAATAACAAGGAATTAACTACTAATTTAGTAATATAGTTTTTTTTTATCAAAGTCAAATAATCATTTATTCCATAGGTAAAATTTTTACACTTGAAAACGTCATGTTTTAAGCTACTGCTCGTTCACTACGCTGACCTCCCTGACAAGAAAAGCAAGAAACTGTAGGCATTGCTCTTTTCAAATAAACTTAAATGCTATAGAATACATTTTGAATCATATTTGTGTGGAATCTAGACTCGCGTTGTCTTTCAACATATCTTTATCTAACGCGTAGTCTACAATTTTGTAATATGACTTTTCAATTAAAATACTTTTAATGTAAGTTTTAAACTTAGGAAATGGCAAACTTAACGTATAATCCGGAATCTTATTGTAAAAACGTATATAGTTTCTCATAAAAGAATCGTTTACCTTAGTTAAACGAAAACGTGGTACCATGAGTTTGGACTTAGTTGTAGGGTTAATACTATGGATATCTTCTTTCTTTACGAAGCTATGTTTTTTTGCGGGCATACAAAATATTTGAGTAAATGTACTGTGATCCCACAGTCATGATACCAGTCTCCCTAAACTTTTCTCTGAGAGAAATCCGAGAACCTAAACGGTACATTTTTGCAACACAAATATGGTTTGTATATCTGCCACTTTACCCCACATGAGAATCCCGTAGTACATTATACTATGGAAGTAACTAAAGCAAACTAGCGTAGCAGTAGCAACATCGGTAAGTTCACGTATTCTACGGATTGCCTATGCAACAGAGCTTAATCTGCTGGCCAACGAAGATATATGCAAAAACCATTGGAGTTTACTGTCTCATGTCACTCCCAAAAAGACAGCTTTATTAACAAAGTCTAATGTTTTTTCATTTATTTCCATGATTGGGCTAGTTGATTTTACATTAGGTAATTCAAATTTAACACACTTTGTCTTCTTGGCATTAAGCAATAAATTGTTAATATTAAACCAATAAACTACCTTTGACAGGGTATCATTAATATTGTCATAGTTAACGTTATGTCAGTCTGGTTTGAAAATCAAGGATGTGTCGTCAGCAGACAATACTATTTCGCAAAGGTCCTTAACAAAGAATAGTAGATCATTAATATAAATGAGAAATAAGAAAGGTGCAAGTATTGAGCCCTGCGGAATACCCATTTTTACCGGAGATCCCAAAGAAGTAAATCGATTTATATCTACCTTCTGAATTCTGCCGTTAAGATATGACGAAACAAGTTCCAACGCCTTACCACTTACTCCGTAATATTCCAGCTTCCTAATAAGAGTAATATGATCCACGCAATCTAATGCCTTTGAGAGGTCACAGAAAACCCCAATAGCGTTCTGGGACCTTTCTCAAGCATCATAGATATGTTTTAGTAGTGCTAGCCCCGCATCGCTAGTCGATTTACCACTAGTAAAACCCATATTGTTCACTATGAAAAATATGATTCCTACTGAAATACGACAATACTTGAGTCAACATAACCTTTTCCAATATTTTACTTAAGGCTGGTAGAATTGAATTGGTCTTATAGTTACTAGGATTAACTTTCCTGCCGCTTTTGAATAAAGGAATAACCTTACTGTATTTCATCAAATCGGGAAAAATACCTTCGTCAACACACCTATTGAATGCATCAGCTAAATGTGGGGAAATTAGATAAATTACCGAGTCGTTGACTTTAGTCGATATGCCCCAGAAATCTCCAGTTTCTTTAACATGCATACATTTTAAAGCTTCAATGATGTCTTTTGAATTAACATGATGAAAATTAAATACATTGCCACAAACTTTAACATTTTTCTTTAGGAGATCAATAGCAAGAGATGGAGAGGAATTTAATGATTTTGTAGTGTTCACGGCAACTCCCGAAAAGAATGATTCAAAAGCTTGGGCTACCTCATCTTATGATTTAATAAGTTTGCCGTCTAATTCTAGAACTATATCTCTATCAAGTTGTTTAACCCTGCCTGACTCTTTATTTATTATAACTCCAAGTAGTTTAAGATTTATTTTTCGATTGTATAATTTTATCGCTGTGAAACTTAACCTTGGCAGCTACACATACTTTTTGAAATAAATTTTGAATAATTATGCGGTTGACTCAACCGTGACAGTCAACCGTGACCATGGGACCTGTAAAGGGCCCGAAACGTCGGTTTGTTTGAAAAAACAAATATACGCGATTTAAATCCGGAAAAATAGTTTCATTTCCTATGTGTAACAATCGCGAAAACCTAAGAACTCGTTTTGAATAATTTTTAACATATTCTATAAAACTGGAATTAGTATTATAAGTTTTCATAGCATGTAGCTCATACAAACGAGACCTACTCATATGAATGCCTACTGTTGCCCAATCATTGAATTTAGTCTCCCTGTGGAAAGTTAGTGTTTCGATGTAAATACCTTATCAAATTCATTTTTAATGCTATTAATTATCGTGCTATAGAAAATATTTGGAACCTCCGGTATATTAGTTAGGGCTTTTACAGTTTTTTTTATTTTCTAAAATACCAAAGTATTTATTGCTAATTCAGGATTACGATGATGAGGAATATAAATGTCTTCTTATCGTATCGCCATCACACATTATCGTGGCCGAGAACTTGGTCACGCTGACACTGTCACTAGTAGCTGTCATGCTGAACTGTGCACAGGGGCCTTACCATGAATCTTACGATTTAGTTTATGACCTAAAATGAATCGTTGTGAGACAGCGTTACATGAAGTATATATCACCATCCCGCTTCTTTGTCGTTACGAACCTATACTGCACTGTAATAAGAGTTCATGGTAAGGCTCCTGGATATATTTGCCATCGTGGTAAAAGGAATTACCAATAAGCGCAGGGTATTCGCTGATTGTTGTCCAGGGTGTGCCAGACGTACTAAGAATACGATTCGTTTTCATTTCGAGGCGGCATCTTTCAAGCATCACGATATAAATGTAACCCAAAGACGTTACTACTAATAGATAAGATGCATGTCGGCAAGACGTGCGATACCGTGGTCTCTTGAGTGTAACTACAGTCTTTTTGTTGAAAGCTTTTGTTTATCATGCTCTTATCTTTGTCACGTATTTATATTGTGTAATACTAGACGGAATGTCGTATCTCTACCGAAGCACAGTTTCGTCTTTCTAAACTTCATAGTTATAATTACCCTGCACTTTAGTGTCAGGTCTAGAACGCTGATGGAATATCTATAATTAACAATGTCATTTTACTGTACGTACATGGCAACTAAAGATGTCTTTAGGTAAATTATTATTCCTTTAATGCACTTATATGTGTTTAGAACTTGGTACTCACAAGTCTCAATATAATATTGCATTGTTTTACTACTGAACAGTTTAGTAGTAGTAGAGCTCCTTGTGAAAGAGTTCGTCCAGGGAAAGCTACCACTACAGCAGTACTGTTTTCCGGTTTTGAAGGGTAAGGGTGCTGGTGAAATTACAGACACATGGGACTTATTAATTTATGTCTCAGGGTGACACAGTGACAGTGCCCATGAAATCTTTACGATTTAAAGCTCTGAGTGGCACTGCAACTGTTATGGACATGTGTGTAGCTTAGTATCAGGTAGGCACGACTTGTTCGTCACGTCACTTGATATTATAAAATAAATATAAAAAGCAAATAACATTTTTAAATAATGTATTTCGGGGATATTACGTTTTGCAAGCTCGTTGTTCATATTCCTGTTAAGTTTGTGTATTTCTTTCATATTTTGTATTAGGTACATTTAATCAATAAATAAATCTTCTATCTACGGTTTCTTTTCGTTCAGGGCTCTCTAGGGACCGGTAAACGCGGATAAGAAACATTATAAAAGATATTTTCTATGCGACGACGGGCAGCAGAAAATTTCCTTTACGTTCGACTTCTCGATACGGTGCCTTTAAATTATGTTATCGTTCGGCTGCTTCCTCTGACAGTAAAAGTTTAGCTACGACTTGAGAGGCGTGCAATTACCTTTTAGAGATTTTATATTGAAGTAACTTTTATAAATTTGTTGAATATTATTGATTGTAATGAATTATCTTCATATTCAATCTTTGTATTAGTCATTGTAACAAACTAGTGGAGTAATTTCACAAATATAAATGAATATCATGATGGTAAAACATCATAATATTCATTACAATCAATATTACAATTTACAAAACGACATCTCTTGTCAACCTCTGTTGCCGCAGCATGTCGCCGCGATAAAACTGTTATATCCATATTTAGCTGTCAAATTTGAGTGATAAAAATCAAACATTTTAAAGTTTTATCATAATAGCTAACATGGCAAGCACCGTGACGTCGGATTTTTGTCGCACCTCGCGCGCCGCATCCAATGGCCGCGAAAGAATATCGCAGTGTTAAACATGATCGCAAGATCACAGCTGATTATAAAACATTTTAACAGTTCTGCACAGTAATTTTATCAACGCAAAAATTAAGTGCGGTAAACGAGATAAACAGAAATAATAAAAATAAACAAATTCTCCGATTATTTGAATTACGTGAAAAAGGCGAGGAAAACATTTTTAATACGCTTTAATATATGAGAGTTAATAGAAATACTTCAATAGTAAAATATATTGCAAAATGTGTAAAAACTGAAACTACAAAAACCATTTTTTGTTTCGCCGTTTTCGCGTCGATGATTGAACAACAAAGAAAGCCTATAGGCAATTTAATACTATTATTCTTTATTAACTGCCTCCGTGGCCGAACGGTTACCATGCCGGACTGCCACGCATAGGTCCCAGGTTCGATTCCCGGGCCGGGAGAAATAGCTGTATGGCCTACAATTATTTCTCTCGTGAGTTTGGGTGTAATTTTTGGTTGTCTATGTGTGTGTTCATGACACCCACGACACAGGGTTTCCCTAGTGCGGGGCTACGTTGAGTGTGTGCGTTATTATTGGTGTACGTTATTCTTGTTCTTCAAAATGTATAACAGTAGTTAATTATCAAATTGACAAAAGAACGGATGGCTTAGGTGCGGTATCTTACCGATTCAGTATTCGCAATAAAAAAAAATGGCAACAGCTTTATCAATTGAAATAAATATGCCACTGGGAGGTTTATCACATATTGCATGCGATATATTGCCATGTTATGGCCACTGGTAGTTGTAAAGGTACCTGGTTGAGTGAAGAAAAACTTTCATAGATTTCTCACAGACGGCGTTACGGCAAAAAATGGCATAAAACTTTAAAAAATAAAATAAAAATTTACGTTCACTTAAACCTAGTTTACAGCAAGTTTGCTGGGGAACTCCATTTAAGCAAAATAATTGCTAGTGCTAGGAGACGCCGCTCTTCCACGTTAGAGTTCTATGTGACCAGGTAAGTTACGACTAGTTAAGTTACAGGATCTATATAAATAATTAAATTAAAATTACAACGAGAATAAAACAAAGATCTGTAACAAGCGCTTAGAGAAATTGGTAAGGTCTAATGAGTCGATTTGAAGCTTAGTTGATAGAGCCATGGTAGAGCCGTTGCATTGGCACAGTGCCAGGGCCAAAGCACAGACTCAGGTTCGATTCCTATCAGATCGAAGGAATTTTTCTTTTGAATTAATAATTATAAAAAAAACTTGTAAAGTATTGCTATTCGTTGCATTTTTACATTTAACCTGAATAATTTGTTTATCAAGTTAACAGATAAACCAATCACAGTTATCTGCTACTTGCAATACCAAATTAGCAATGTAAGTTAAGGCAAACGAATGTGACGGATCCGACGGGAACCCAACACCTTTACTAATTGGATTGGACGTTTCGGAATTTCGAAGGCAGCAAAACTATATAAATCACTGACTTAAAATACACATACAATACTATTCTGATTCGAAATTCCGTATGGTCGCTTATGCATTAGGAATTCAGCACGGATAAAGCCGTTCCGAATGCAAGTCCTCCATAGATTTTGTAAGGTCGCAACACACACAGTCGTAAATTCCGTACGTATTTTCGCTGCGAGAACATCTGGACTCAATGTCTCGCTTTTCTTTCGAGTATTGTTATTCGGAACGAAAAAAAATATGTATGTGTGTGATATATCTACGAAATCTCGAATCGAATTTCCGAAACGGAATTCCGACTGTATGTGACTTTTTTGCGTGGAGAAATCCCCCTAGGATACCTCTCCGCCGCAGGAGTAGCGGAGAGGTAATGCTGGACTTCTACCGGCTAATGAGATATAGCAAACTCAAGAATGATGATGGGCCAGCGTTTGTACTTAATGGCAGCATCGCAGCTGCCAATAAGCAGAAAGTACAATAGAACATTGAGTGTTGACTGTTTGTTATAATTATTTCGGCGGCCATTTTTGTTATATCAAATCCAATGAAATCGAAATGAAAAATGATACTAAATACTTTGAAGAGCAGGCCACACCGCGAACGAAACTAGTTTGCTTAGCTCACGTAGCTGCATGCACCCAACTATGCCAGCTGGTTCTGGATCAACTCGCGTAGACTCTACTAGACATGTTAGCAGTTTGCCGATTCGTAACCAACAGAACTCTCTACCAAACCGTAGACACCCGTTCGCCCCACTCAACCCTCTGCAGTTATTAGATTATGCCGTCACTATCAATTACCATACTAAATTATAATACTTCAAATTAAAAATTGTGTAAATATGTTCAAAAGTAAAAACAGCACCAAAAATATTATATCGAATAAAAATGTAGAAATTTGTAGTAAATGTCGAACTCGTTCGCCCCTCTCACCCCACTATATTTCTTGATTATATATAGTTTGATAGCATTGACATCGTGCATTGAGTAATCCTAATTGGTACGGTGCAATCACCGTGAGTTAAATCAATTATTGTTCCGATTTGAAATGTCAAAAGTTTTCGATCGGCCAGTTGTGAATCGCAATTAAGCGCTTCGACTCGGAAAAATCGCACTTTCCGATCGGGAGAGGCATTCAAAATAAAGCTGCAGGTCGTGCGCTTGTTGGTAAACTACAGGCACATGGGACTTGTCAACTTATGTCTCAGGGTGACTGGCGCAATGGTGTGAATAAGTGAAAAAGCGCCCCTCAGATCTTTGCAATTTAAAGCTCTGAGTGGCACTGTAACTGTTATGGACAGGCTACAGTAACCTGTACAAGTCCCATGTACCTGTAATTTCACCAGCACTCTTTCAAACCGGAACACAGTAATGCTGACATTACTGCGTGGCGGCAGAAATAGGTAAAATGGCAGTACTACCCTGGACGAACTCTTTTACAAGGAGCTCTACTGCTACTAAAAAAAGAAATTTGGATAACAATTAGGATTACTTCGAATTAATCAAATAAAATATCATGTAAAAATATAATAAAAGGTGCTAAGTTAACTAAGCTATCTTAGCTTCGTTCGCGGTGTGGCTTGCGCATAAATCTCAAAAAATATAAATACTCAAGCAAAACAAACCACAATTTTACGCTGGATTTCCCATAGAAAAATCTCGAAACCTCTGTTACGAGAACAATGTTCTCTTAAATTCAATAGAATTGTCATTCGTTGCGATGAAGATAAAAATATAACTTTTGTCCCATAATTCACATTTCCATGAAAATGTTTCGGTTTTCCAGTTTTACATAGACAAGCCAAAATACGACTCTTTTTATTTCACTGAGCTAAGGAGAATTGCGTTCCCTTGTGGATGCTGATAATTTTTAGGCACTTGTTTATTTGAATGCTTCCCTTTTTTATACGCATTTTCTTTATTTTAAATTCACATTTCGATTTCTGCTTTCTAAAATAGTATCTTATTCCAAAATCAACAAATTCATCAGGAAGATGTATAAAAAAACTGAAGCATATCTAGATTCCAAAACCGACGAACCATAATACCACCGGTCCATGTTTTCACTTGTTTTTTTTTTAACAAATAGAACGCTGGGTGTTTTTCTTTCATGATATAATTTTGCACATTCTGAATGAAGCTATATTATAATGTACAGTCGATGCCCTAAAATGCCTGACCTAGCCTTCTTACGCACTCAATTCAGCTTTTTGACTGAAATTCATTCTCACCGTCACCATCATTATCATCATGACTTACTGCTGAACATAAATCTCCTATTTAGATATAGATATTATTATATGCAGACCCGCTTATTTAACCAATGTGTCGTGCTCACTATGACTTACGGTGCCGAGACGTGGACGCTCACACACAAGGCTGTGTACAAAATAAGAGTCGCACAAGGAGCCATCGAGCGAGTCATGCTCGGCATCAAACTTATAGATCGAGTTCCGAATTCCGAAATCCGTAGACGAACTAAGGTCCAGGACATAGGAGATCGGATAACGTGTTTAAAATGGAGCCGGGCGGGACATGTTGGGAGACGTGGTGGACACAGGTGGAGTAAGGCGATAACCGAATAGTGGCCAAAAAATGGATAAATAAACATATGACGTCCTGTAGCGAGATGTCAAATTTGCGGGCACTAGATGGGTGAGATTAGCACAGGATCACGGTGGATAGCACAAACTACGGGAGGCCTATACCCAGCAGTGGGTGAAGTCGTGCTGTGAATGATGATGACGATAGATGTTCAATAAACTTCATATTATACTTAGTTGTGTTTTATATATTTTTTTACATCGCGTAAAAAAGCTTCGTTCACACGGCATTGCACTGTACGCTTTTTTGTAGTATTCGTCTCACGATACATTTTCATTTGTTTAAAAAACGAACAGCCGCTGTATCCATACAGCAATCACCCAATCATGAGTACACGTCTATCATGGATGCACGCTTTGTTGCACTTTTACAGCGGTGTAGACGACGCCCACGGTTTCGCCGTCGCGTCGGTGTAATAGAACATATTGGGTTTATCCTATAGAATCAAGAAGCGTCGCGTACAAACACGTTTGAAAAATTGCAAGAAAATCTAAGAAATGATGAAAATATGTTTATCAATTACTTATCGTATCCATAAATAGATTTAACAATTTTTTAAAACGTTTGGAGAATTCGAGTTTACCGAAAATAAATACGAATGTGAGGACATGTATCATTAGTAAAATGAAATCGGCTATCTGTTTAAAGGAGAGATTCAATTTAAAATACGCTGTTATTACTTAAGTTTTAATAATGAAATTAAACTATAGGTACATGTAGTTATTTGGCCAAAACTATGTCATTGTAATCAACTACATCTGATAATCTGAGTGTTTTGAATATGGAGAATCAATAGAGTGAGAACTTTGTAGTAAAGCTGTAGCCATATTTGTACTAAGGTTTTAGTTGACGCATTACTCTTGACTTGGTGTTCTTGACTGGAAGATTTTCGTTGGCTACTCGTCTGTCTTGCAACTAACATTAAAAGAAGGGAACTCTTGATTTTGGCGGCTGCTTTTTATCGTTTTCATCAATTGTAATACTCCCATTTGAAATTCAAGAACTTCGTTGTCGTCAAACATGTCCAATGTAGGTAATATCCCATTAAAAAATGAGAGATGCCGATTAGTTACTGCAGGTTCTTTATTTATGTAGGAATGCATAAATTTTATCATTTTCGCATTTACAGGATTTACATCATTAGCAATGGACCTTCGTCTAGGTATGCGTTTAAGTATTGGATTCATTGTCTCCGTATCGTTAGTCTCTATGGTTTGTATTTCCGATCTTTCTTTTGTTTCGGAATTATTTACCTGGCTTTTAGATTCTTTGTTTTCGGTAATCATGCTGCTCACTCTCTCGGTAGGTTGTATTATTTTCTGTAGAAAGCTTAACTGTTTGCTATAAACATAAGGCTTCGCTGTTTTAGCGCCATTCCCTGATCTCTTTTGACCTTGGATCTTTTTATAAGATCGATTATAATTATCTCTTATATGAGTCCACCTCTGAATAACTAGTTTAGCTGTAAAAGACATAAGCATGATTAGTTAAATAATCATGATGCAAGATTTGCATTATTTTATAAAGTTGGAGTATCAAATACAAGTGGGATAATCTGGGATATTTGCGGGACATTCTGGGATGTTCTACGTGAAGAATATCTTCAGACGCCTTCTTCAGATTATGAACGAGTGAAAGTAGTAGAAGGTTTTGATAAAAAAAATACTAATTTCTCTTATTGCTTATTATATGTTATTATTTTTTAACCGATTTCAAAAAAAGGAGGAGGTTCTCAATTCGAATATATGTTTTTTTTGGTACGTATGTTAGGCGATATCTTTTTGTGATTTGGCATTTGTGAACCGATTTTGACGATTCTTTTTTTGTCGGAAAGAAGGCATGTACCTCAGAAGTGGTCCCATTTAAATTTAAAAAAATATTTCACCTCTAAGAGTGGCAAACTAGGGGATGAATGACCTTTGTGGTCGGTTTTTTAGTACTCTGTACAGAGATTATCCACTGTACTACTTGCAGTTGTTCATTCTGAATACAGGTTTATATTATGCAGGATCATGTTATGGAATGCGATTCAACTATTTAAAAATATTTTGTATTATGGAAAAGGACTAATAAATAATAGTTCTTTGCATATACCCACATCACTATCTTTAAAAAGGATGAATGAAGGAGATAGTATGCCTTATGTATGTATTGGTGATAAAGGATTTGATGTACAGATACTACAAATTACTGCTTCAAATTTAATAATGACGCACATATGTGGACATACACATAGACAACGACAAATTACATCCAAACTCACGAGAGAAATAAATGTAGGCCGTACAAATATTTCTTCCGGTCCGGGAATCGAACCTGGGACCTCTGCGTCCGGCAGTCCTGTGTGGTAATCTTTCAGTCACAGAGGCAGTTAATGTCTGTCACCGTGGCCGAACGGTTGCCTTGCTGGTCTGCCACGCAGACAGAGGTCCCGGATTCGATTCTCGGGCGGGGAGAAATATTTATTTTGTCTATATTTATATCTCTCGTGAGTTTGAGTGTAATTTGTTGTTGTATGTGTGTCCACGGCACCCGCGATACATGGATTCTCTAGTGCGAGGCTATGAGTGTTTCGTTGAATAACGTAACCTCCGGTTAAAAAAACCGACTTCAAAAGTCATTCGTCCTCTAGTTTGCCACCCTTAGAGGTGGAATATTTTCTTGAAATTTAAACGAGACCACACCTGACGTACCTTCTTTCTAACAAAAAAACAATCATCAAAATTGGTTCACAAATGGCGGAATTATCGCGTAACATACATACAAAAAAAATTGAGAACCTCCTCCTTTTTTTGAAGTCGGTCAAAAAAGAAAAAATACTACATGTAAAAATATATTCAACTACCGCCTGAACAGAGCAAGAAGATAAGTGGATTGTGTTTTTGGTATTTAAGCCGGGAAATGGAGAATTCTACATAAGGCTATTGATGTTTCACCTTGTCTAACTACACAATTACGTTCGTGAATATGATGACAATAACTTTGACAAGGTGGCTAATTCTATATTATTCGGAAAAAAGTGCATCAATTCGAAACTACGAGATCTACTTTTGCTGACTGTTTTTTATCTAACAGTTTTGTCCCATGGCAAAAGGATAATATATAGTACCAAAAAAAATTCCATTTATTTATTCGTTTATCGCAAAGTAGTTTTCTTAATGCACATACCTACTCATCGAACTATGGAAACAACGTCGCGAGTGCCATGGACACACACATAGACAACCACAAATTACACGCAAACTCACGAGAGAAATAAATGTAGAAATAAATACTTCTTTCTGCCCGCGAATCGAACCCGGGATCTCTGCGTGGCAACCCAGCATAGTAACCGTTTGGCCACAGAGGCAGTTTTTTTAAAAACAATTTAAAACAGTTATAATACAATTTATCAATAAAAGATACATACCATATGCTTGTCTTCTTTTCTCGTCTCTTGTTTCGAAATCAGGATTCAGTATTATCATTATCTCTTTCCAAGCAGCTTGAGTTGCAACGCGATTTTTATACAACTCTGTAGTTTTGTCCCATAAAACAGGCTTTTGTTCTACTAAAGAAATCAATAAAACGTTGTCTATAGAAGATTCGTCGGCCATTTTGTAATAATAAAATTGCGCGTGTACTTCGTCCAAACGATGTTATAGCAGTGACGCGGGGACGCCGGACGCCCCTCGTTCGGTTATTCTTCGATAAAAAACGTATGACATCGCGCCGTGTGAAAGAGATGGTGTAATACTTGCGCTACTGCAATGCGAAGACGTATAACGGTGTGTGTTTTTTCTGTATTAAACGACCGCGACGCGACGTGTGAACGGTCTTATACTAATGCTCTGTTGCTCTACGATAATTATGTATGCGCCATAGACCAGATGTGGTATGCGCCATTGTTTTTTATTCGGTTATATTGTACTGCATAAAAACGTGTAGGACAATGCCGTGTGAACGAAGGCAAGCTGTGTACAATTGGATTGCCGTCGCAGAGGGTTGTGCTAATAATGTTATTGTGAGTAAGCGAGAGGTATTATTATTAAACATTGTATATAACAGTGTTCTATGCACATATATTTATTTACTAGTATTTATTATGTGTACTTAAAAATATATTCTTTCGTTGCGCCCCTTTTGCATATACCATATATCTATTCTAACGTTACTTTGGAGAAATTGCTACATAGCAATAAGGCCGCGTGTTACACATAAATTTATTGTTTTTGGGTAATTTTCGGGTTAGTTTTTTTATGTTTTGTGAAGAAATAAATATATACCTTTTTAATTCAACTGTTTTTTTGTGTATGTTACTCGATTACTCCCGAACTGATTTCGATGATTCTTTTTTTGTTGAAAAGGGGGTACCCTTTTATGTTTAAAGTACTATTCTGTGTTGCCATAATAATTTTATGCACAACAGAATATGAATGAATTAATGAATAAATTGTATTAAAAAATTGTATTTCGACATTACTACTAACATGACTATCCTAGGGGTTGGGTGCCTGGAGACTCATATTACAAGCTCTGCTTAGTTTGGGTTCCAGTCTCCCACAATACATTACTCTAAGCTTACGTAATAATGTATATTTACTGTAATTGTAACGTTTCTTTGTATTGTGTTGTGGAGATAAATAAAGATATTATATTATTATTATATTATTATATTATTATTTTTAATAATAATAACGCATACACTCATCGCCTCGCACTAGGGATTCCTGTATCGCAGGTGCCATGGGCACACACATAGACAGCCACAAATTAAACCTAAACTCACGAGATAAAAATGTAAGCAATATAAATATTTCTCCCGGCCCGGGAATCGAACCCAGGACCTCTGCGTGGCAGTTCAGCACCGTAACCGTTCGGTCACGGATGTACTTAAATAAAACGAATGAAACAATATTTCATTCATTCATTCATTCATATTAAATATATAAATAACAGGACACACCTAATAAAAATTTCTATCTACTCAAGATACTTAGAGAGCTTTTCGTCGTACTGCTTATTCGCGGTTTATCAGAGCATGCAATTCGCATCGGATGATGAGATTGTCATCATAATGACGTCACTAGGTCTATTGTTCGAACCACGCAGAACTCACCTAAACAAGCTTTGTTGAGTTTAGCGAGTTTTTGTGTTTTTAGACCTATTCTTATTCAAGCTCTCACTGATAAGTTAGTTACAATCAAATCAACATTCATTTATTTCAGACAGCTACAGTTCACAATCTTATAATAGTTACACAATTACATTCACAGCAACACTCTATAAATGCGTTGTTGTACAGGGTCTAGAGCACGTTAAACTTGACATTTAAGATTTAAATCCAAGTCTATGCCGCTGCCAAGCTTGACGTGCTCTTGACTGTACAATGTCATAATCTATCAAAGAACACGTACCAATGGCCTGGCATAGAAAAACAAAATCGAAAACCTAAAATGTTCAAGTAGGAGAGCCCCTTGTGAAAGAGTTCGTCCGGGGAAATACTGCCTTAACTATTTCTAACGCCAAGCAATAATG